GGAGCCCAGCAGGTCGAGGTTGCAGTGGCCGGCAGCGGCCACTGCACTCCCAGTCTGGACAACAGAGTGAGACTCCAACTCAAAAAAAAGAAAAGTTGGAGAGAGGAGACTGCATGTTTCTCTAATCTTTGTACCCTTGATTATAAGAAACGGTGGCACAGACTGATTTTAATGAAGGATAAACAGTTTTGTTTTTGTTTTTTTTTTTGCTTTAAACAATTTTTTAGTATGGCCCAGTATATCTGTCTGAGCTTGTTTTTGTAATATTTTGAAATGTGTGTTCAATCACTGTTTACTACATTATCATGGACCTGCTCTACAGATGTATTCAGCCACACCTGTGCGTAAAAACCAATGTGATTTTTTTCTCCTTATAGCCTACAGTTTTCATCAAATGGAGGCTAGGTTAAATGCATATACTCATGTAGCAATATACATGCATCTTGTTAATGTTTTATTCCAGAAACAGCTCTTCTGGAAACTTGGTTTGGAAAAACACTGGCCTCTAAGCTGGACGTGGTAGCTCCTGCCTGTAATCCTAGCATTTTGGGAGGCAGAGGTGAGAGGACTGCCTGAGTCCAAGCATTCAAAACCAGCCTGGGCAACTTGGCAAGGCCTCATTTCTGCAATAAATTTTTTAAAAAATTAGCCAGGCGTGGTGGCGCATACCTGTGGTTTCAGCTACTTGGAAGGCTGAGGCATAAGAATCACTTGAGCCCTGCAGGTCAAGGCTGCAGTGGCTGTGAGCATGCCACTGCACTCCAGCCTAGGCAACAGAGTGAGACTTCTACTCAAAAAAAAAAAAAAAAATTGGCCTCTAGATTGTCAACCTCATATTAAAAAGCAAGAGATTTTACTCCCACATCTGTTTCTATTCTTATTCTAGCATTTTGCATCTCTGTTATAGCATTTGTCAACTTGTATTGTGATTGCTGGTTTAAGCTCTTGCAGAAAGGTTCAACAGTCCATATCTTCCTCAGAGCCTAGCACTGCATAAAAATATTCTGAAAATAGTTTGTTGAATAAATAGGTGAGTGGGTTTTGATTGGTTATTCATGTGATTGCTTGGTTTTGGTTTTGGCTTGTTTGTTTTGGGTGCTATTTCTTTTGTTTTTGCCACTTCAGATTTATTTCACTGTTGCAGCCATAGCTTTCAGTCATTATTTTAAAAAGAACCTGTCCTCGGCCAGGCTCAGTGGCTCACCCTGTAATCCCAGCACTTTGGAAGGCCGAGGCTAGTGGATTGCCTGAGCCCATGGGTTCAAGACCAGCCCGGGCAACTTGACGAGACCTCATCTCTACAATTAAAAAATATATATATGTTAGTTGGGCGTGGTAGCGCATGCCTGCAGTTCTGGCTACTTGGAAGGTTGAAGTGGAAGGATCGCCAGATCCTGGCAGGTTGACACTGGGGTGGCCCCATGAGCACGCCATGGCACTCCAGCCTGGGCAACGGAGTAAGAGTCCAACTCAAAAAAAAAAGAAAAGAAAAAAAAAGAATCTGTCCTCATGAGTGACAGTACTCTTTTTCCACTGCTTTCAGAGTAATTCCAGAACATATTGTTTTGTTGATTTCTTTGGATGACTTACAGAAGGTTCCAGAAGGATATTGTTCTGTAGCACATGTGCTATTGTGCTTTATCATGGCCTTGACACAATTTTGCATTGAAGAATAGACTCCAGAGGTTTATTTTGCATGTTCATACTATAGTTAGAGAAGACACAAAAAGTGGACTCACAAGCCCTGTGTAAAATAAATTTCCTAAAATGTCTTTTTATTTAGTGTTGAAGATGAAGCTGTAGATAAAAATGTTTTCAAAGACTGCAGCAAGATCGCTTTCTACAGGTAAGGAAAGTAAATGTAGTCCCTAGATCAAAACATTTCTAACAGTATTTCAAAATTCTTGCTTATCAGATTTTTTGAGAACTGATAGACTCTCTAAGAAAAGGGTCAGTTAGGAAATTTAATGATTAAGGAATTCATCAGACAGGAGACTCTTACCGTTAACTTTATATATTTACTTCTATACTATGTAAATTTTTCATTAAAGAAGTATTTTATTTTAGAAACCAAAATATTTTAAAACTAATTTTTAAATTTTATGTCTTTGAATAGGTAATACATTTTACATGGTTCAAAAATAATATAAAGAGGTATTCATTGAAAAGTATTACTCTCACACCTGTCCCCTTCCACCCCATTCTTCATCTTGTCCCTTTAAGTAACTGGATTTGTTAATTTCTTATTTATCCTTCCAGTATTTCTTTCTGTAAATACAAATATTTTTATATTACCCCTTTTTTTATCACCTGCTTTCCTTACCAAGCAGTTTTTATACTCTTGTATACCTCTTTTTTTCCTGCTTTATAGTTTATTCTGAAGAGCAATGAATATAAGATGTCCCCTCTTTTTACAGCTGTATAGTATTCTATTGGATAGATGTACTATAATTTATTCAGTTTGTTTCCTATTGCTAGACCCTTGGGTTATTTTTAATTTTTTGCTAAAATAGCACTACCACAATGAAGAGCTATACATATGTCATTTCTTACACATACAGGCATGGTGGCGCATACCTGTGGTGTAAGAAATGTACTCTATAAGAGTACTCTATAAGAGTACTAATATTATCAGTGCCAAATTCACTTAATATAGTGAATTTTAATGGCTTCCACATGATAATATAGTCTATTGAATACTGACAGTCACAAATAGTTCTTAAGCATGTGTATACTCCATATCTGTAGGCGTCAGAAACAGCAGCTCTTCAAGAAGTCCACTTATCGGGCACTACTAGACACAGTCACAACAGGTGAAAAGAGCACCAACTTCCAAATCATCAATGAAGCAACTAAGGTAAAGTAGAAGTATTTTCTACAGAGAATAATTTGTTTCTGCATTTATTTGGGTTGAATGAAGTAAATTTCCACAAAAGCTCATTAAAGCTATGTGTGCCTCAAAAATAAACTTCGTTAGAGAAAGAATGTTATCTTTTTCATATCTATATTAATACTTTAATAGTAATATGAATATCAAAATATAGATTGCCTGTGTATCAGATGTTTTCTTAGATGTTTTACAAATGTTATTTTCTTTTAGTTAGCGTTCATAATACACCTAAGAGGTACATTGTAGTATGCACAACTCTCAGATAAGGAAAATGAAGTCTAGAAAATCACTTGCCCAAAGTCACACAGTTAGTAACCAGAATTTTCTCCTGCATCTGTCAGACACTCATGTGCTTTCTAACACTGTTACACAATGTACAGTTGCAAATGCAGCCTGAGCAAGGTACAAATTCTATGAGTATCCAAACTTCAAAATGCTGATGGACCAGGAGGACAGGGGTAGGCAAAGGGACTATGCAGTCGAAAACCTAAGACGCAAGTGTTTCATCACTTGAGTTGCTTCACTAGCAGGTTACTGTAGTTATTACCTACTGAAAGGATTAGGGAAGTATATCTTCAGTGCTTTATCTCATCTGTCAAGTCGTCATGCTACTTCAGGTGGGCCAGTCATGGGCTGGGCTGTGAAGCATGGCTGTGCACAACTATCTGACTTGATACTCTCAACCTGACCCTCACTCCCAGATCCTTCCCCATACTCTGAGGTATTCTAAGTTTCTAAGACCTCTCAGACCAATCCGACTTAACTTGTAATTCATGTAACTGAATGACATAGTTAAGGCCATGCAGTCTGGATCCTCTAACTGCTTGAATAATAACTCTGCCAACACTAACAAATCCCAGTCTGGGTAGCTGACTTTTACTTTGAAGCTGTGAGAGATCTCCTTGTGACTGTCATAGCCCTTGCACTGTAGTGCTGTACTGAGGGAACCCATCAGAGAATATGGAACAAAAACTGTCCCACAATGTCAGTGGGTGCTCTATCATATTTATAAGTCTTCTAATTCAGAAAAGTGTCCACAGAAGGAGCAATTGTACAGTAAGGAAAGCTACCTTCATTGTGAAGTTTTAGAGATTTTTTTTTCCATGTGGAATCCTCTACTATAACTTTCTTGCCCAACTTCAAAATGTGAGCTAGAATCATATCAACAGTTCTATGTCCTCATCCCCTGTCCTCAACTCCTAAGACATAGTTATTGTAGCAGTATACTTAGTTCATCTCTCTTAGCTGCACAGTTGGTACAGTTAGCCTTTCTCCAAGACCTAGTGCTGATTCTTATACCACCCATTTTTCTGGAAGAATTTGCCCCCTTGCTTATTATCTTGTTACCTTTGAGTTCTCAGCTTATGGTACCCCCAAAGCCATAGGTCTATTGCTGATCCAGGTATCTCCTGCTATATATCCTTTTGCAGCCTAGTTTGATAGCTATTCTCAGGGAGAAATACGGAAGCCCTAATTTCCTTCCCGGAGAGCCACCCTCTATTTGCATGTCTTCTAATAGCCTGACACTCAGCCAAACCCCTTTCTTCAGGGTCAGCAGAAGCAATAGGCTCCAGGAAATGCAACAAGTTCATCAGTGGCCTTCCAGGAGTCTTTAGGCCTGCTACCAGACGTCAGGAACCTTCCTGTCTCATTTTTCCTTCTGTCTTCTCATTTTCCTTTCTGATTCTGTTGTGCCTAACCTGAAAAGTCATAGTTGTCCATGGTCAGAGTAAGAATTCCTACCTGTCCTTGAGGAGACATAGTATATCGAGTACCTGGTCATGAAGACACATGCTAAGGCGAAGGAAATGAGACAAAGTTGCCCTGAATATCAGTGGTGGGCCAAAATGAAAATTCTCAGCACAGCTTGATACCAGTTAGTGGTGGACACCCACACGTGCCCTTTTACATTACTGTGCATCAGTTTCTTTTTTTGGGTCCTGAAAATGTGAGGGACAATACTATTCAGGTCAGGTACCGGGACCAGAGACCAGGAGATGAAGATGCCTTCAAAGGAAAAGAAACCTCAGTTCAGAAGGAGCCACAGGATCTCACTATCAGACAGCACCTGGATCAGTTTCCCAATAAGCAAGGACAAATTACCTGGATGTCAGCAGCATAGCTCCCAAGACTGAGAACTTTGAGGACCCCTTGGAACAGACTCCATGTACAGGTATTGGAAATATTGGAACTACAGAGAGAATCTGCATGCTCTGATCTCAGGCAAATGTATGTAAATGTATGTTTTGGCAGGCCATCTTGAAATTCTGCTCTGGACTCCATTTTGATGTCCTCCTTGTCATGTGGCGTTCACATGACCAACAGAGACTTAAGGTTTCATGCCCTCTGTCAGTCTGATAGGGACAAAAACAATCCAGACCATAATCTCTAAAGTTGTCTGCATCTTGTATCCAGCTCATTGCATTGTCAAAGAGCCTCCACTAAAAGTTGTTTCTGGGGTGAGATGGGTGTTTCAAGGGGATTGTTCATTAGGATATGGTACCAATATAGTCTGGAGATTTAAAATAAGCTGCGTATATCCACTTATTCAGAATGACAGCTTTTTATTTTAGGTTCAGAGAGACAGAGCCCAAAGTCTAAGGGGATCATATTCCACTCACAGCTGCAGTTCTCAAATTGCACTGATGAGGCAGATTCTGACAAATTCAACACTCTTCTTGCCTGCCTGCCCACCCCCACAGCTTTAAAACCCTTAAAGCAGTAACTTTGGAGTTGTCAAGATGTATTGATTTTTGAAAGAAAGTGCTCAACCCTCTGCTCTTTTCTTCACTCACCCCCATGACCTCATCTAAACCGAATTACCTCCCAAGGGCCCCATCACCAAATGCCATTACATTGTGGGTTGGGGCTTCGTGCAGATTTTAGGGAGACACAATTCAGTCCATAGCAAACATGATGTTTCTAGGGCATAGTCATGTTACAAAATAAGCTGAAGTGTTGACCTGTGTGTTGTCACAAGGTCAGAACATCCAGGCTTTGGAGAAAAACTGGTTGAAGTTTCAGATATATACATTTTCTCCCATAGCATCCCAGTATAGTATCATACTTATTCCTGATGACAGAATAATCAGGTAGATATTTGGTCAGGAAACTTTCAGAAGAAAATCTAAAAAGAAAATGATCAGGAAAGTGTTGACTTCTTTTTTGGAACTCTTTTTATTTTTTTATTTTTAACTATTATCACATTTTTGGTGAAAATTTGACTTAGATTGAGAAACAGAAGATTTAGTTTTTTGACCTCTGCACAGGGAAATGTATGCTGTCAGAATTCTAAGTCTAACTAAAAAGTAGTGCTAACAAGGCTATCTAGAGCAGACCTTTGTCTTCAAACTACTTTATCTTGTTCATTTGGATGCTTTCTCATATGGATGACCATTTGACAACATATTTATTTTCTTTTGCAGCCTGTTTGCAAGGTTTCACAAGAGACAAAACTTCCAGCAAGTGTTCTCCAAGGATGCAGGGATATCTCTGAGCACCTCGATGAAGTTACTTCTTGCTTCATCATCTAAACTTGATAAAAATGAAACTTTGTCCAACCAACCACATCCTCAGCAGATGAGCCACAACTGCCACTTGTTAGCCAGTACTGTTTCTGCAGAAATGTCCATGAACAGGCAGATACTTTGGGAACTGGCCGAACCGTCAGAAGCATACCTGGACAGGCTAACTGTCCTTGGGGAACGGGCCAATGCCCAGCGTGAGATTGCCAGTGTTCTTCGTAAAGAATGACTGCTCACAATAAACCAGCTGGCTGCAACTGTGGAAGGGGCAATTATTACCCTACAGCAATTTAATGAACTCTTAGACCATTCTCTGGATCCTGGGAGGTCTTGATCAACAGCTGGCAGGGTGGTTGCTCACTCTTAAAGGCCTTTTAAGTTGCTTATATCATAGTGGAAAGACCTGGTGCCAGAGGAAAAACAAGATCGACCCATCAAAGATGAGTTGATAGAGTCATAATTTTCTTTTTTTTAAACACCTACAGCTATTTAAGTATGTATTTTAGGGCTGTTCTACTAATTCTATTACAGTCTCTACTAGTTGTTATTTCCAGTTCTGGGTAAATAAAACATTTTTGTTTTCATGTAATTGTGATCAACCTGCTGCTTGAAAACATAGACGAAGCTATTTCTACCACCATGATTTTTACAAAGTGTCTGATATTTTTGCCTATATGACCATAAAAATCTAGACTTGTGGATAACAAATGTCCAGGTTTTAATTGTTTTACTGAGTATGGGAGAAATAAGATAGGAAAAAGAAATTAATACTCTTTTTCCCAGACTGTGAGACGTGGGCTTCTGAGTAAAGTTATATGAAAGACCAAGTAGAGTCTTGTAGTACTAGAAAGAACCTTCAAAATACATTTCTGAGGATATAGCTTAGCTTCTCTGCGTAAATGAACATTTACTCATCTTAAATTTTTTTTTAAGAGACAGGACCTCACTGTGTTGCCCAGTCTATGGTATAGTGGTTATTCCCAGGTGTGATCATAGCCCACTACAGCCTCAAACTCCTGGGCTGAAGCAGCCCTCTTGCCTCAGTCCCCGAGAGTACAGGTGCACCCCACTGTGCCCAGCACATCTTAAATATTTTTAAGAGAGCAAAACACATGCTCTTTCACTTTATTTTAAATGTCCGTTTTAAATTATTAGATGTTTGTTCACTTATTTTACATAAATTGATGTGACTGCAATTTAAGTGTAACTACTTATATTAACTGAGGATTAATACTAAATTCTCAGTTTAAGCCCAACTTCTGTAACTCATTTTCTTATTGTATTTTTTCGCTGTCATTTCCAGTCATCAGTAATAGGAGGAAGAGATTGGTGGTTTATTTGTATATTTTTTGTTTATAAATATCCAAAGAGGTCCCTAGCAAATAACAGAATATCTTGCAATTCTTAATGTTTTAGATAGAAGAAAATAACATTCAAATTCTTCAGACTCTTTGAAAGAGCAAAGTTTTGGTGGAAGGATTGGGCAAGAGCTGGCAGTTAAGCCCGAGGAAAGTGGCTTTTAAACTGTCACCCACAGAGCCCTGAGGTTTCTAGGGAGAAGCTTCAGGGCTCAACGCAAGGAAGGGGAGGGCTCCTAGGTGAAACCACTGAGCCACTGTCCACTGTCTTCAACCCAAGTGCCTTCACTTATTGGACTTTTGGGGAGAGTTAGCTGATATTTAAAATAATAATAATAAGCTGATTGAAAAAAAAAAACCATGAGCCAGATCATAGGAGCAAATACATTCGTCTAAGAGAAGAATGTGCTTAGTCTATGAAGCTATGTTGGTGATAATAAGAGATAAGAATGATTCTGAATGTTGGCCTTGAAATGGCCCACCCAACTGGAAAAACTCTGCTTACTAAATTAAGCTAAAATTCAAACACAATGGAGCTTTAACTCTGATTTATACATAAGGCCATTATGGTAAAAGCAGATTATTACTACCTCTTCTTATATAATTAAATTATATATAATTATATATAATTTATATAATTAAATTATATATAATTATATATAATTTATATAATTAAAATTTTTTCCTGAACCGCATCTTTCAAGAACAGAACATACAGACCAGTATTTTTTTTTAAGTTTTTTTAAAAGAGAAAACTATTTTACTAAAGATGGCAAGACCTCTTAGTGAATAACTAGATGCAATTTGTTAATCATATGTAGGCAGACAGCTTATATGTCCTCTGCTTGGCATCTTCTTACTCATGTTTGCCTACCCGAAGTCCTACTGATCCCTGAAGACCCTGCGGAGTCCCTCCTCTTCTAGAGAGACATCTCAGAACCCCTCACCTATAACCCTCATTTATATTCCCTTTCCTGATCTCCCACAGCACTGTTTTTGTCCTATCTTAGCACTTATCAGTAGAATACTTTATGTTCATCTTGTATCTCCTTCATTTCCTCTAAATTGTGATCTCAAGAGTTTAGTTGTCACAGTATTAGAGGCCAACTAAATGTTCATTGAATTAAATTTGAGAGAGCAATGGAAATGTATGTCTAACTAGGGAGAGAATACAGTAAGTACCCCAAATATGAAGGAGTTTTGTTTCAGAAGTATGTTTTTAAGTCCAATTTGTTGCAAGTTCAACAAAATTAGCCTAGGTACTCAACTAACACAATCGGCTATATAGTACTGTATGTATTTAACAGGCTATACTGCCACCTAATGGAGAGAAATAATACATTAAAAATATAGTTCACATCTTTGAAAGTTTGCAACTTGAAGGTTCGTATGTAGGGGACTTACCAGGATTTCAACTTTATTTGTACTTGTGTATATTTTCAAATGTTAAAATTCTGATGGTACACTTGAAGTAATTAAAATATACAAAAGAATATTAAACATGTAAGCAGTAATTACAGTATAATCACTACTATCTCATAACCCTGTACTGAGTATCTATAAAAACATCCAAAGCCACTATTTACCTGGTCATTTCAGTATCATGGCACTGTTTAACTGTACTGAATGCTTTCCTATAACCTCTAGAGGCAAAGTCCCAGTAACATTATTTTTTTGGTACTGGCTTGATAGTCTTCATACTTCCTCTCTCTCTTACCTACACCATTTTGTACCTATTCTATGCTATGTCACACAGTCTACCCAGCTTAGCCTTTATTTTACATGCACAATAGTAACAATACAGGAATCCAGTTGTAATAAAATTTATCACCACACTTCATGAAGAATTTGCAATAGACCAATGTGGCATGGCACACCAGTTAAAAATCACTGTCTTAAAATATTTTTCTGATCTAGATGCCTCATTTTATAGCCTGAATCCAGCCATTTTTATTCGCCTAGCATTTGTTGCTGTTTTGTGTTTTATTTCTTAAACTCTACATTACTTTCATAGTCTGATGTTGTTTCCATGTCCCACTGCAGGCAGAATTTTACCTAAACTCCTAGACTCTTGAAACAGTTGCTCAGGCCTTATTCCCAGCTGTAGAAAAATCAATTCCAGCCTGATTTTAGTGTAGCAAGTCTCATTTCATTCACCACTAGATAACTCCAATGATCATCATTTTACTGTCTTTTTTTCCCTCCGGTAGCCTGCTACCACTTATCTTTCATTTGGCTGGAATCTAGTAACTCTGATTTTAACACCCAAACTCTTATTCTTAACGTATCATAGATACAGTGGCCATATATCCCAGTTTTCCAAGGCCAGTTTCAGTTTATGCCTGTCTTCCAATGTAATTATTATTAGAGACTCTTTTCATTCTAAAGATCCTGGTTTGGGCCAGGCGCAGTGGTTCACACCTGTAGTTCCAGCACTTTGGGAGGCCTAGGTGAGAGGATTGCTTGAGCCCAAGTGTTCAAGACCAGCCTAGGCAACATAGTGAACCTTGTCTCTACATAAAAATTAAAATTAAAAAAGATCCTGGTTTGGACAATTATATGTTTATATAGTCGATAAACACATAGAAGCTATTTCTTATTGCTACCACAGGCAAAATCAAGCAAGTACCTATGTAGATAGACTGGGGAACTTTTTACTATTGCCATTATTCTCCAATTTACTTGGCCTATCAAAATTTAAACAAATATTTTTCTAATTATTTTAATTTGTGTAAAATTAACTATCACTAGGGTAACCTGTTGAAGCTAATTTAATGTATCTGTTTCCAGATTTCTCTTCTCGCTGAAGTTTATGGTATAGAGGGAAACATTTTCAGGCTTAAAATTAATGAAGAGACTCCCTTAAAACCCAGGTATGAAGTTCCTGATGTCCTCACAAGCAAGCCAAGCACTGTAAGGTAAGCCAAGGAGGGAGATATCTTGGATATACCCTCAGTATGTTATTTTATCACACATTGAGTAGTAGTTTGGTTTTTTTGTTTTTTGATTTTTTTTTTGGTCTCTGTCACCCAGGCAGGAGGACAGTGGCACAATCACGGCTTACCACAGCCTCGACTTTCTGGACTCAGGTGATCCTTCCACCTCAGCCTCCTGAGTAACTGGGACTACAGGCATGTGACACCATGCCTAACTAATTTTTTTATTTTGGTGGAGATGAGATCTTGTTATGTTGCCTAGGCTGGTCTTGAACTGCTAGGCTCAAACAATCCTCTTGCCTCAGTCTACCAAAGTGCTGGGATTACAGTCATGAGCCACCACACCTGGCCAGTGGTAGGTTTTGTACCTCCTATTTTGTTTTTTCAAAGCTATAATAATTTGCTGAGTTACTATTTAGTTATTTGAGGATAAGTTTATCTATTTTCTTTGTTATCCATTCTGTTTTTGTCTTCATCCATCTTTTGACTCATTAGCAATTATTCACAGAGAGAAACAGAACTTTGAATCCTACTCTTCTTCTCAGACATTAGAAGCAAGTAGAAGAAAAGCTACTTAATTCACTCACTCAGATTAGCAGCAAGACTTCAGAGATCTAATATACTAGCTAGATTCTAACCAAACTCCCATGCTTACAGAAATTTATACAGTTGGATTGACTCACCTTTAATTAATGTTATTCTCAGAAGTCTAACATGTCATTTTATTTAGAGTCAAGATAAATTAATAATCAGTGTCTAGCTGGAAAAAATAGTCTTTGGAGACTAAAGCATTTTTCAAGTACCAGCAAAACCTTCATTGGTTCTCATGACTTTCCGGTGATATTTCACTCAGTTTTGCCTGTTGATTTCTGTTATTTGTTCATATTATTTTACTAAAAGAATATACGTTTGTACCAGTTGCTTTACTTTTCACTGTATCATTACCATGGTTTTATATTGATCATTTTTTTCTGTGAAAATGTAATAAAAGGTCAATAGATTATAATGGCAAAAACTAGGAAATGTGCATGGAAGTGGTTTCTGGTGAATTCCTAGACCAGAAGGAAGGAATTTAATTTTAGATCAAGCTAAATTTATTGACACAGGTGTATGTTCCAGAGAATCTAGATTTGTTATGCTAGCTTGGGAAGTTGAGAGTGGTTCTAATTATTTGCTTTGTCAGTTGACTATAATCTGAACTCAGCTATGGATTCTGCTGAATGAAGCCAAGATACCAGAAATTCCTTGGCTCGGTATAGAGGAAGCAATCCATAGATTTAGGGAGATAAAGATATTGAAGTTGATTTGTCTTATGTAACCGATTATCCAGCCCCTAACTCTGTTCTCCAAGAGGATCCAAAAGATACCCCCTTCATTGAGAAATATGTTGGTGAGGGAACACTTGGAGAGCATTGTATTGAATGTCTTCTTTTCGTAGGCTGTAAAAAATGGTGGGAAATGATGCCATTAAAATGGGTTTTCTGATTTCAGTGGAAATAAGACTCCAGCAGCAGAGACAAAGTAGTAGCATTTAGTTGTCAGAGACAAGGTGAGCATAATTCTATTACATGCAGTAGGGCCCATGTAGTACTCAAAGTGGTTTAACCTGAAGGAAGTGAACAATTTATTGTGGGGTCCACTAGATGAAGTAGCTGGACTGAAGTCCTACTTGATGGGATAATAATTTTTGAAAAGTTCATCACTCTAAATTGATGAACAGTGAGACACAGCCTGTCAGTCAACTCCAAACAATGTTTACATCTCAAGCATCTTGCTTGAAGGGGAGGCCTAGAATCCATACAGAAGGACTGAAAAGACATAAGAAGAATACAAAGTAGGCCAGATGCAGTGATCATGTCTATAATCCCAGTGCTTTGGGATTATAGCACTGGGATTATAGGCATCATTTGAGGCCAGGAGTTTGAGACCAGCCTGGGCAACATAGTGAGACTCCATTTCCACATTTTTTTTTTAATTTGACCGGGCACAGTAGTTTATGCCTGTAATCCCAGCACTTTGGGAGACCAAGGCAGGAGGATTGCTTGAGCTCAGGAGTTCAAGACTAGCCTGGGAAACATAGTGAGACCTCTTCTCTACAAAATAAAAAATAAAAAAATTAGCCAGACATGGTGGTACATGTCTGTAGTCCCAGCTACTTGGGGGGATGGGGCAGAAGGATTGCCTGAGCCTGGGAGGTCAAGGCTGCAGTGAACCATGAGTGTGCCACTGTACTCCAACCTGGGTGACAGAGTGAGACCCTGACTCAAAAGAAAAATAAAAAAATAAATTAGCCGAGTATGGTAGTGCGTGCCTGTAATCCCAGCTACTTGGGAGACTGAGACAGGAGGATGACTTTAGCCCAGAAGTCTGAGGCTGCAGTAAGCTATGATCATGCCACTGCACTCCAGCATATGGGACAGAGCCAGATCCTATCTGGAAAAAAAAAAAATGAACTATCCTCTTTAGGATTTCCCTAAAGAGTCCTGTGACTAATTAGCAGAGTGAATATGCACTAGATAAAGGAAAACACCTAGACCTTTGAGGGGTTTTAAGTGTTGACTCTGAGCTTACGTAATTCCAGAGGATCCAAAACATCCTAACAGTATACCTGTCAAATTAGAGGCTGACTGGAGTCAGGCAATAAATAAATAAGAATTTGACTTGGTTCCATCTTACTGTGGACCCAATCTGTGTTATTTCCTTAGTTTCTGAGTTTATAGTTAAAATGAGAAAGACAAACAATATTTAGATTTATGCACCAAATATTTAGATTCTATGCACTGAAGTGTTACTAGATTTTTCAGACCATAATGTTAGCTATCATTATGAAGATAATGATAACTAACATTTACTGAATGTTTTTTAATGTGTCTGGCACTGTGCCTAGTGTTTTACATGCATGATCTCATTTAATTCTTTCCAAAAATTCAATTTGGTGTAGCTTTTATTATTTCCACTTTACAGATGAGAAAATTGTTACCAAGAAAGATTGGATGACTATGTTATCCAAAGGTATAAAATATGTAGTAGAGTTATGCTAAATACAAGCTCTCTGACACCAAAACCCATGCTGTCATTAATGGTTCTCTACTGTCTTATCTGTGCTAAGTCACATGACTATTGCTTTACCAATTAATTAGTTGGAATTGAAAATCACATAGAGCTATGTACGCCTATAGCAATTTTTTTCTCTTCTTTCTTTGTTTTCTAGACTGATTGCATGTTCAGGCGATACAGGCAGTCTGGTATTGGCAGATGGGAAAGGCGACCTGAAGTGTCATATCACAGCAAACCCATTCAAGGTAGACTTAGTGTCTAAAGAAGAGGTTGTGATGAGCATAAATTCCCTGGGCCAGTTATACTTTGAGCACCTACAGATTCCTCTCAAACAAAGGTATTTTTGCACATTACTTGACATATAAAGGTGTTAAGAAACCCTGATTGTAAATACTAGTTGCCTAAATTGATAACATATCATCATAGACAATTGGTTTGCCTTATTTGCTGTAGTATTGTTCTGAGAAGTTTCATCTTTTCACTTGTGAAGGAGAATATAGGCTTTATGACAAAAATAATTCCCAAATGTTTGCAAATGTTATACTCTTAACATGTCCTATGTGTGACTCATGGCATTATCTACCTTCTGCACCTTTCTAAAAAAAAAGCACTCTGTTAATTTGCCTCATATTAATGTGAACTAGCATGGCTTCATCATATCTCTCTACTTTCTTACAATAAAATGAATTACCCTTGAATAGTTGCCCAGGAATTTTCTGGGACCATCCACCTGATCAAGGCTGTTTTTATGGGGTCACATGAATTGAGAGGTGGTGACAAGGAGGAGATTCTTCTTCCATTTTTACCAATACTGTATATATAATACTTATATAACAAACACTTCTTATTTCTTAAGAAATGTTTGTTATATAAGGAGTCTGTAGTTCTTTCTATTTTTATTATAATAGTGAACATATTACATGGTCTGCAGAAAGCATTCAACATTTATTATTCCAACACAGTGATTTTTTTTCTGGGTTTCAACTTATTTCTGTTTTAAAATTTTAATAATAGTCGGGTACAATGACTCATGCCCGTCATCCCAGCACTTTGGGAGGCAGAAGTGAGACGACTGCATGAGTCCAAGGGTTCAACACCAGCCTGGGCAACTTGGCAAAACCTCATCTCTACAATAAATCAAAATTAGCTGGTGGCACGCACCTGTAGTTCCAGCTACTTGGAAGGCTAAGGTGGAAGGATTACCTGAGCCCAGTAGATTGAGGCTGCAGTGGCCATGAGCATGCCACTGCACTCCAACCTGGGTGACAGAGTGAGTCTCCTACTAAAAAAAAAAAAAAATTAATACTAAAATATTTGATATTCTTATCTCAGAAATGATATATATTCATTTAGGCAAATTAGAAAATATTACAAGGATAAAATTTAAAACGCCAATAATCTCACCACCCACTCTATGTTTTATGAATATTACTCAAGTGCTTTTTAAAATTAAAAAATTTTTTTTTTGTAAATAAAGACAGGATCTCACTATGTTGCCCAGACTGGTCTCGAACTCCTGGGCTCAAGCAATCCTCTTGCCTCAACCTCTAAAAGTGCTGGGATTACAGGTGTGAGCTACCACGCCCAGCCTTCAAGTGCTTTTTATTTTAACTGAAAAATACTAATAATAGTGTAACAAATACCCATGTACTCAGTATCCAGGTTCTTCATATTTAAATTATTTTTTCTTCTTTTAACCCTATTATTTTGTTTTCTTTTACAAATGGTATCTAATTTGATCTTTTTCATTTTTAAAATTTATTTTAAATAGGCACATAGCACAAAGTAGTATATAGTAAAATATCTCCTTCACCCTTTGTCCTTCAGCTACCCAGTTCCCACTGTATCCTTTTAGAGACAATTTATTTCTTTACATTACATATAGTCTTTGTCTTTTCCTTTCCTTACTCAAATGGCACCATCCACAAATTGTTCTGCACATTGCTCTTTTCTTTTAACAATGTGGAGTTCCTAATTTCTTTTCACATAGCTACACAGTTTCGGTTTCATGGTTCCACCATGATTCTTGAGTAGATTCCCTAATGATGGAGTTTAAAGTTGTTTCTAATCTTGTTTTACAACTAATTATTTTATGATAACCTTGAATATATGTCATTTTTGCATATATACAAGTATATCCATAGGATAGAGTCATAAAAGTATAGTTGCTGATCAAGTGGTGTGTGCATTTGTAATTTTGATAGATGTTGCCAAATTGCCTTCCATAGAGGTTTACTAGTTTATGTTTCCACCATTTACACTAATGCATTTATATTTGTGTTAGAAAAATCAGATTATCCAACTGGAAAAAATTTAAGTTACATCCTAACCTCGCAACTTTAACAAAAATAAATTATAATAAATAGAAGTTAAACATAACAAAACCTAAAAATAGAGAAAACATAACAAAAACTGAACAGCCACAAGGAAAAGATTAATGCATTTGATTACTTAAACATGGTTAAATATTATTATAGAGGCGCGCGCGCACACACACCCTAAACAAAATTAAAAGTACTTCCTGGTTTCTTATTTGTTATATAAGGAGCTTGGAAATTACTACTTCATAACAACAGGTAAAAAGCTGAACAAACTGAAAAATCAGTAACGCTTCTTAGATCTGTCAGAGAAGTGAGGTCAGAAAAGTGAGGTCACTGGGGCTGACTACTGCCCCTGAAATTAAAGGAACAAGCAGATACAGAGAATCACAACTTACTAAGGCCGAAACTCATGAACAGAAATCCCTGAGAGAACCAATACCAGGATAGGAAAACCTAAACTTAAACAATGATTTGCAGGAGGTTCACTGTGGACAACTCCGACAGTTAAAAACTTGAGGGGGACCCAGTTACAGAGAGCCTTCAACTTTTGTGAGTTTTACCTTCAGGAGTTCTACTGAGTCATAACCGTGAAAAACAGAGGGGAAAAACCATATACTTCCAACAGAGGACGGGGAAAAGGAATCATTTTTAAAAACACCTGGGCATTCTATTGTTTTTAACAAGGACTACCCTGAGGATAAACTCTTGTACCAGAGCCTAATCAACTGGGGCTTTATTAGAGCCAAGCCAACCTGGGGAGAGGGAGAGAACCTAAGAAGCACTGGTGAAGTTCATAGTCCAGGGACACATGCTCACTATAAGACTAAGACCTAATCATAGGATTGTACAATGCTTCTCCTCCCCCTACATCTTACCAGTACATTACTGAAAGCCTATTTACAACAGTTATTACCTGCTACATTGTCCACCTTTTGACAAAAAATTACAAGGTCTACTAAAAGGCAAAAAACACAGTTTGAGGTGGCTGAGCAAGAACCAGAGTAGGCTATAGAAGGAATGTTGGAATTATCAGACCATGAATTTTTTAAAACGAATGATAATTAATATACTAAGGGCTTTGCCTACTTAAGTAGACAACATGCAAAAACAAATGGATAGTATAACACTAGCTATTCCAAGAAAGTATCAAAAGAAATGCTAGAGATCAAGAACACTGTAAGAGAAATAAAGAACGTCTTTCTTGGGCTCATTAGTAGGCACGACACAGTTGAGAAAAGGATCTTTTTAGTTGAGAATATGACAATAGAAACTTCTAAAACTAAAAAGCAAAGAGAAAAAAGAATGAGAAAAACACAACACAACATCCAAGAATGGTGGAACAGCTACAAAAGGTAGAACATACAAGTAATGGGAATACCAGGAATGGAAGAAAGAAAGAAACCGAAGCAGTATTTGAAGCAATAATGATTGAGAATTTCTCCAAATTAATGTCAGACACCAAACCAAAGATCCAGAAAGTTCAGAAAACATGATACAGGACAAATATAAAAACAGCAACAATAACAACCCCAAAAGTCTATACCTAAGCATATAATAGTCAAACTTCAGAAAATCAAAGATAAGTCTCAAAAGAAACCAGAAGAAAAAAATCTCTTACTCATAGAAGAGCAAAGATAGTAATTATGTGCAAATTCTATTCTGAAATCATGCAAGCAGAGAGTAGAGTGAAATATTTTAAATATTGAGAGAAAAAACTCACCAAGCTGGAGTCTTTACCTTGCAAAATTACCCTTCAAAAGTTGAGGAGAACTAGAGACTTAATGAGACAAAGAAAAGTTGAGCAATGTATTGCTAGTAGACCTACTTTGCACGAAATGTTAGAAGAAATTATTTAGTAAGAAGAAAGATGATGTAGGTCAGAAACTTGGATCCACATAAAGAAAGGAAGAGCATCAGAGAATGAATAAATGAAGTTAAATAAAAACTCTTATTTTTCTTAATCTTAATTAATCTAACAGGTAACAGTTTATTAAAAATTATATCAACAATGTATTTGATTATGTATGCATATATATTTGTGCATAATTATGTGTAAATGAAATGAATAAAAACAATTATACATAGGAGGGAGGAAGTAGGAATATTTTGTTATTATGATATACATGCACTACTCATAAAGCAATATAGTGTTATTTGAAAGTAGACTTGGATTAATTTGAATATATATTTCAAACTTTAGCTCAACCACTAAAAAACATGAAAAGGGCATATAATTTATATGCTAAGAAGAGAAAATTGAGCCATATAAAATGTTCAATTAAAACCACAAAATGCAGAAAAGGTGAAGAAGACAAAAATAGGAAAAAAGAACAAAATCAAGAAATAGAAAATAATAACAGATATGGTAGATATTAATCCAACTATACAGTAATTACTTTAAAAGTCAATGACCTAGCCGGGCTCGGTGGCTCAGCCTGTAATCCCGCGCCTTTGGGAGGCTGAGGT